GCTGAACATGAGCCAGCAGTGTGCCCAGGTGGCCAAGAAGGCCAACAGCATTCTGGCTTGGATCAGGAATGCTGTGGCCAGCAGGAGCAGGGAGGTGATTGTGCCCCTGTATTTGGCGCTGGTGAGGCCGCACCTGGAATAGTGTGTCCAGTTTTGGACCCCTCAATAGAAGAAAGACCTTGAGGTGCTGGAGCGTGTCCAGAGAAGGGCAACAAAGCTGGTGAAGGGTCTGGAGAACAAGTCTTATGAGGAGCGGCTGAAGGAACTGGGATCATTTAGCCTAGAGAAGAGGAGGCTGAGGGGAGACCTTATCACTCTCTACAACTACCTGAAAGGAGTTGTAGTGAGGTGGGTGTTGGTCTCTTCTCCCAAGTAGCTAGCGATAGGACAAGAGGAAATGGGCTCAAGCTGCGCCAGGGGAGGTTTAGACTGGATATTAGGAAAAATTTCTTCATGGAAAGGGTAGTCAAGCATTGGAACAGGCTGCCCAGAGAGGTGGTGGAGTCCCCATCCCTGGAAGTGTTCAAAAAACGGGTAGACGTGGCACTTTGGGACATGGTTTATTCTAGTCTAGCCTTAACTGGTTTAGTGTGGACTTGGTAATGTTACATTAATAGTTGGACTGGATGATTTTAAAGGTCTTTTCCAACCTAAACGATTCTATGATTCTATGATTCTATGTAGGTTGCCCCTGCCAATTTAGCACATCCAGAGATCTACTGATCTCTTTGAGGTTGCAAGCTCCACACTCTTACCCATCTTCTCTGTTGTGCATTTATCACTGTGCTGAGTGGAAATTCCAATGGCAAACAAACTTTTATTATCCACTATCTGCATCCTACTGTTCAAAGAGCTCGCTGCTACCCAGGACAAACCAGTTTTTCAAGTCTGGACCTGGACATATGACTGGCTATACAGTGAATCATCTGATATGGGACTTTGGTCACAGCCTGACCATGGAGAGGCACGTCACAAGGGGAACTGGAGGTTGTAAAAAAAGAAGAAAAAGGCTTAAAGTGAGGAAAGGCTCAGAGGAGAAGGAAGATAAAAGCATTATAAAGCCCACTGTACCTACTATTGAAGTGTCAAAGGGGAGATGCTTTACTCCATGTTCATTACAGGTGTACTGGGATTTTTTTCTGCCAAAGTATGCCTCTCCCTCTCCAGTTTCTTGTGTGACACAGAAGGCAAAGTCAGCATGTCGTCATAGCTCCCCTGTTGTGCTGGGGAGTTGTGTGTGCTGTGTCAGAGGCTCCCACCCTGCGCTGTACCCAGGCTGTGCACTGATAATCCTCCTCTTCTAATCTGTAAGGAGGAGCTTTAAATCATAGAATCATAGAATCATTTAGGTTGGAAAAAACCTTTAAGATAGTCAAGTCCAGCCATTAGCCTAACACTACCAAGTCCACCACTAAACCTATTAAGGGTAAAGTAATAATTAATTTCATGTTTCCTCACTTGGTGGCTGGATTATTTTTTAATGAAAGTAAAAACTAGGAATCATTAAGCTTGGAAAAGACCTCTAAGATCATCAGTCCAACCACCAACCCAACACCACCATGCCCACTAAACCATGTCCCAAAGTGCCACGTCTACCTGTTTTTTGAACACTTTCAGGGATGGTGACTCCACCACCTCTCTGGGCAGCCTGTTCCAATGCTTGACCACTCTTTCAGTAAAGAATTTTTTCCTAATATCCAGTCTAAACCTCCCCTGGTGCAGCTTGAGCCCATTTCCTCTCATCCTATCACTACTATCCAGATCCCTCTGCAGACCCTTCCTATCCTTGAGCAGATCAACACTGGCCAATTTGGTGTCATCTGCAAACTTACTGAGGGCACACTAAATCCCCTCATCCAGATTATTGATAAAGATATTAAACAAGACTAGCCCCAAAACTGAGCCAAAAATGAATGGGGTTTTACAACTTCATTAATGGGAAAAGCTTCTGAGCAGTTTGTGACACAGGCTTTGTTACAGGTGGGGCATAGGTGATCATCTAAACAGTTAGTGGAGCGGTAATGGGAACAATTTCACATGCAGTCAAATGGTGGCAAAATTTCTCATGCCATAGCTGTCATTCATAAGCCTCTCCAATTATCTGCATGACCTTCATACTTGTAGGTACAACTGCAAATGTAATCTTGCCATAATTGCAGCTTTCTGCTTCTCCAAGGCATATAAAAAATTACTGTGTAGCCAGGAAATAAGAAATCATCAACTCATACAGAAGATTTAACCTGAAAATCTGTCACTTAATGGAAACTGCTTGTTTGCTTTTAATCTTAGATGACATACTTTTAGTTTGGATACCATTAAATATAGATATGAAACATGTAGGAATTGTAGTCAATTCAGATACTGAGTTTCTATTCAGCAGCCCTATTTAGTGCACTGGAAACCTACTACGAAATGTATTTAACTTTGACATTATTTTCTATTTGCCATCTTAGAAAAGGAACATCTATCAGGTCCTAGGAAAGTCTATTTTTGCTTTCTCCAAAGAGATCAGTAAACATATAAAATGCAGGTAGATTCTTCAAGGTTTAAGAAGACTTAGGATCTTACCAGAACTTGCTTGTGGTTAATGTTTAACAGGCATATTTTTAAAAAAACAGTAAATAAACCCCCAGAAGTTCTGGCAAATTTCTTCAACATCCACAGCCAAAAGTATAAAATTGTAATGAAAACAGGTTTCAGATCTAAATCATATCTATCTTCAGCTTTTTAAATTTCCTAGACTGAACAAGAAACTCAGCTGTGCTGGTCTTACACCTCCTGAGGATGGAGGCTGGGAAGGGTCCAGAGATGCTCTGCAGCTCTCTGCCCCCAGACAGGCCTGGGGCCCTCCAGCAGCCCAGGACTGTATACCATTCTGGGAGTCCACTCCTGGGCATTGCTGGTGCAGACCCCTACCTGCCCAAAATCCAAGAGTTCTGTGAAAGAAAGCAAGGAGGTGAGAAGGGAGTGGGCTTCTTGCACATGAAAGGTCCTTGCACACTGGCCTTTTACAAAGGGTCAGTGTGTGAATGCTCACACTTGTTTCCTATATTATTACTGCCTTAGCACAGTTTCCCTCAGACATCTCTGACTGAATGCCTGGGCTAAGCATCTCACAGACAACAGTGTTACAGCTCAAGCCTTCTTTAATGTGTATCTACTGTGCGTGTAGATTTATAGCTGTGAATGTTTTGTTACAAAATGCTGTTTCAGAGCTCCGCTTATAATAAACTTAGTTTACTGCAATTGCATGGTCTGATTGCAGACTTACCTCTTCAAATCCTGTGTCATCCGTGATTGTCTTATTACCCTTCATGGCCCTTTTCATACCGTTTTATATGGCCCTTTAAACTTCTCTCATGATTCATCTGTGGCTATGGCATCCGTCCATAAAGACACCCACATTTCTCAACTTACTTATTTGTTGAGTGCTTTAGATCTAAACCATACCACACAGTTGTTTCTCCCAATCCTTACAAAATCTGTATTTCATGAGCACAATTATTTTTAGGAACATTCTCAAATTCAGGGTGGATATTGTGAAATAAGCTAGTCAGACAGACGATCTCCTAGAGGAAGAAAAAAGAGTATTACTCCAGAAAGGAGCCCATAAAGTCAAAGGCAGGTATAAAGCCACTCATAAAAATGGGAATGGTTGTGTCTGTTTAAATATAATTAGTAAAAGTGAATGGAGCGATTACAACATCACACCTTCATTAAAAACTGGTTTAGAGAGCAGCTAGAGGAAGTTGTTTTCAATGTAGAGTAGATTTTCTTTTTTTTTTTTTTTTTTGTGGATCCTGCAAAAGCCAGGCTCTAAGTTACATCTTTTTGTCACCATCTACAGGTGTGTTATATACTAACACTTTCCATTTCTTTTCAAATACAGACAGCAGAATTAAAGAATGCAAACTGACAGTGAAGACTGAAAAATGGGCTTGGGCCAAGGGGACTTCATAAATCAGTTCAGTCCAGCATGTCCTTAATCTCTCACATTTAAATCCTTTGTGCTCACCTGCAAAATAAAGCTTCTTTTTTATGATGAACTCAGGGCAACCTGTGTCTGACCCTCATCCCTCTAAGGACTTCTATACAGGGCTTCTCCAGAAAATGGGCTGACAGAAAAAACAGAGCAATGATACCTTTATTTTCCCCTCAGGATTCCTAGCTTGAGGAGCACAAAAGAAAACAAACAAGACATAAAACAAAACTAATGAAACAGGTTTATTGCCTCATCTTCTGGGACGAATCTAGCTCCTGTTGCTGAGAGGTATCCAGAACTGTGATTGCTGTGCTGGGGTTCACAACACTTTTGGAAACCTGCACAGCAGGAAGTTTTGTGCACTGCAGTGCTCAGGTCCCCAGGGTCCTGCTTTGGTGAAAAAGAGGAAAAGGATCTGAAGTAGACACTGAGATGGAGAAAATGGTGGCAGATTCCTTTACCCCTCCTCTACCAGGATAACACAGACCCAATCCTTTATGCCGGTTGAATGTCTGCAGTGGGAGGGTGAACACAACCAAATGAATTTTGGCAATGATCAGTGGGCAATGGAAGAGTCAACCCTGTAACTTAAAAGCATTGAGAAAAGCAATAATTTCCACCTCTTTAAAGCAGGTCTGTAAAATGTTTTCATGCTCACTTCCCTTTCTCTTGAAACTATGACTTTTGCTGCACTATTTATTGACTTTTGAGGCGTAGGACAAGACTAACAGGACCATAGAAAAGTACAAATTACAAAGACGCGGTAAAAGTCTGGAGACTCAGTGATAACACCTGGTAGTGCTTCCCCAATGCTCTGGTTAATATTTACCTGTGGTATAGGAGCTATTTAAATAATTGTCGATGCCTTGCTCACAATTTTTGCTTTTGGTAGCAGAGCACGGTGTATTTGACGTGGTTTGAGAGGTTTTCTGAAGACTCAGGAACAACTTTTATATTGAGGTCAAACTCTTAGGAAAGCTTCTTCTGCAGTGCTCGTTTTTGTCTCAGCTTGTTGAAGATGGCAGGAGTAAGCGGCTGCATGAAGTACTCTATGTTCGTCTTCAACTTCTTATTTTGGGTAAGCTGGTGTTTAAATTGTTATTAGTGATGCATGAAATGTGTTCAGCATTATCTGAATGCTGTAGTTGAAGGAATTGTAAAGAAAACAGAGCATAAGTGGAACCAGAGTACGATTCTAAATCAGGGAGGGGAGAATACGTTTAACTTCTGCCCTTCCCTTTGTCTTCTTCCTTCAAAACAGCTTTCCCTCCGCATTGAAAAGTAGACCAGCCGTGAGTCTGTCTCCCTGCCCATATTGTGCCCCTCATGTCAAGGGATGTCACTCATTTCAGTCAGAAGTTAACAGACTCTCCACTTACAATGCATTTTCTCTTGCATTTATAGTCTGCTGCTTGCATCCAAACAGCATAATCCTGAAAATGTAGTTGCAACAGAAAATACAGAAAATTTACTTGTATTTTTAGCCTCCTAACTGATAAATTGTTTTCATATCCTTCTTTATCGTTCTTTGCTTTACGTTCAGTGTCATAATTAGTTTCTGATGGTAGACAGTAAAGGTTTGTAAAATGGCATGGGCTGGCAGTACTGCCAATAGCTGTAGCAAGGCGGACAAAGCACAGGGCAGCAGGCAGATTTCTGGGTGTTGTTTGAACCATATTTGTCTATTTATCATATCTCAGCTGGCTGGCAAGAATTTCAGGCCCTGGAAGCTCTGGAAAGTTTTGAGTTAAAGAACATTTCTCTCAGGGTTCAACCTCACTGTCAGCTTTCCTGACAGAGATTTGTCAGGTTCACCAGAGGTTCACTGAAAACAGAAGCGGAACTACTAGCCACATTATGGGCTTTGCCTCAAGGGATCTTTTTCAAGTGAAAAGGTGATACCATTCAAAAGGGACCATGAACAGTAGCCTTGGAAAATTTGTGGCTAGCCAAAATGAGAAGAATTAGCAAAATTCTTTGATCACTTGTGGACCTCACAAAGAAATTCCTAACAGGCGGATGATGGTTTGGACTGCCTCCCCCCTCTTCTTCCTCGACCTCCATCAAGGCAGATTGAAGATATTTGACATCTGTGTTGAAGTTTTTCTGCAACAGTACTTAAAGTCCATAAGTTTCTGACTTGGAATTCCTGCCTCTCAGGAAGCTTTTCCTGTTCACATTCATCTGTATTTACTGTAAGCTAAAACACAGGCAAATGTCTCAGACTAGCATTAGAAAAGCTCCAGACTGCGTCTGGAACGAACGTGTGAATAATGCCTCATACCTAAGCCTCCAGTGACTGCATGGGTTTCCTAGGAAAAAACACAGGATGAGATCCTGGGGAAGTCTTGAAGGCTCAGGAAACAAGCAGGTGTGGAACAAACTTCCCAAACCTGTCTTTATGCCAAAGGTAGGAAAATCTGTACTCTAGTCTGAGGAAGAATATGCTGCGAGCATTTGCTGTGCATGTGACTGCCTGGACAGGACAGAGGAGGACAGGAATGCAGCTGTAGTTACTTATTTTAAAGGAAGGCGTTTAGCACTACCAAGATAGGGAAGAACAGACGTGGTGCAAACAGGAATATGGGCTGACAGAGTACAGTGAAGCTGAATTCTTTGATTCACATTCCTGTCTCTAATTCCTGGAAATCATTAAATTGCTGTAGTAAAGTACAGGGAACAGTGACGTCTTTACAGCGATTAGGTGTATTAGGTGCTCCCAGGTGCAGAAGGCCATTGGCAAGTGGAAAATGGAACTGATAGTGGAAAATGAAGGTGACTTTAACCTTAACTAGATAAGAGCAATGGCTGCATGTTACGTGGCGTCCTTTCATTTTAAGCCCTTTGCAACGTCTCTGGGAGTGTCCCCTCTTAGGGGACTCGGGAATGGGCTTTCCAGCCTTCTGATGCCTTTTTCCAAGCAGCTCTTACAGCATAGCACTAAGTGTGTAAGGCTTGGAATAGTCTAAGCTAGCTCTGCAAAGTGGCTCTGGCTTCATTATGACGTGTGCCCCCTGGGAATCTACAGCCCCACGAGCCCCATGGGCTCCAGTGTGTCCAGAGTTTTGCTTCCTCCCAGTTTGGTGAAAGAAAGTTGAGCATGGGCTTTTGAAGACCTGTGCTTTGGAGCTGGGTGCCTATATGGAGCTTTTAATAGTCCTTAAGTTAATCCTTAAGTCAGTTTTGTGCATTAAACCTGACATGTAGGTCAGATTTTTCGTCTTTCCCTTCTTCAGAGTTTGCAGGACATCCAGTCCTACCTGCTGCCCTCATTCTGTCGGCTTCTGCTACTTCACATCATCCAAAATTGTAGAATTACCACTTTTTTGCACTGAGTATTGATGTCTGATCCTAGTTTGAGGCAACCAATTAGTGACAGAGCAATCTTTGATGAGTTGTTGATACCAGACTTGCAGTCCCATCTACAGCCAAAGCAGCCCTTTCACCATACCTTACGTCTGAACATCATGATCCCTGAATGTAGCAACACAAACTTAGCAGGTATGCTGAACCATAGACCGCATTCTCTGTAGGACCTTCCTAGCACTGTTAATTTCAGGTATCTCAAGGAAGTATTCCAGTCAAATGTTTTCCTGAACAGGAGCTCCTCCTGATACACTTAAACTTGTTGCTTAAAAAGTGTGTGCCAGTGGAGGGCATTCCCTATAGGTTTGGTATTCCCATGTCTGAGAAGTGCAGAGTCTTGATAGACTGCTGGTCCACAGTCACAGCGGGCTCTGCTCAGGTGATATTAATTTAACTAGGCTGTATTTCTTCATCACACCAAGACTTAAGGGCTTGAGAAGAGAAGGACTGATTGAATTCGAAGGACAACAGTCCTGTTCCTGGTCAGTTTATGAGACTGTGATGAGGTTGCCGATTCTTGGTCAAGGGTTGAGGCAAAACTACAATAACCATCTAGTTTTGGGAAAATGGGTGAGGACTTTTTCAAAGAAGCTCTTTTTATTCCATTGGAAAATACTGGTTCATTAAAAATTAAATTTCCTGAAATGAAAGTTTCTTTAGTAGAAACTTTATTTTAAGAAAACTTAATAATTAGGATGGAGTATTCCAGCAAACATGAAATGTTTGACTTGGACTTGTTGGGAACAGACTATATTGATTTGTTATTTCAAAACTTTTCTTTGTGTGCTCTTGTACACTTTGTATAGTATGAAAATAAACAGAAACAAAACATTAAGATTTTACTGAAATGGAGCATTTTTATCAGCCTAAACCAATTCTATTTTTATAATTAAAATATATACACCTTACTAAAAATTTTGATTTATAAATTATGTTTCTTTTTTGAATGGGGGAAATAAATACCGTAGCATTCCCATCTGATTGGTAAGTTCCTCTATATTCAGCTCTATTTACTTCTACTACTGTGCTGTATTTTCATGGGAGGTCCTATGTAACAAATGAGGCAGTGGGCCAAATTCTGTTTGGATTTGTAGCAATAGCTACTTCAGTGGAAATTTTCACATTAGCGAGCCCATGTTGTCTGGTGCATAGCCACATGGCTCACATAGTGCTGCTGAACAAGACCCAAATATAGAGTCATATGATACCATCAGTTTCTAGGCAGACTCAGTGGGATTCAGAAGGTTTCAGTGGGGAGTTCTAGTTAAATTTGATAACATGATATAGCTGTCATCGATTGTACAACTTTCCTTTTCATGTTTAAAATGTACTTATAGGAGCTTTACGTAGAGCAGGAAAATGTGTGGTACTCATGTCTGAGTGCTGGCTCTGTTCCATATTAAATAATCTGCTAAAGTCGTTATGGTCTTTGATGCTGAATATTATATGAAACATTTTGCAGGGAAAGTATTTTTTTTAGGAAAAATTATCTAAAACATATAAGAATAGCTTTTTTAATTTTAAAAGGTTAGGAATAATCCCAGTCTTCATGGGAAGCTCATAGCAACATTTCAGGGCCATTTATGACTTGAGTATTAATGACATACAGGACGATAATTCTAAATCTGACTAGTCTCTGGTCCTCGGTGATCTCTCTTTCCTACTAGTCTTTTCAGTAGGCACAATCCTTACACCTGATTAGCCTCTTAATTATGTGTCTCCAACACCTAATAAAGAGAAATTCTGTGTAAGAATCATCATGGACAAGGTTAGGAATAGAATGACTGGTGCATAATGGAATGGTACCTCAATGATCAATGAAACAGGAGCACAACTAATGGTTAGAGAGTGTGTCTGGACCTGGGATTCATCTGCCCTGACTTCAGCATCTTAAAGCAAGTCATCCCAGTCTAACCCATGCGTACATGATTGAGTATGGTTGTTTTCCATAAAAATGTAATGGAGATAATAACTATAGGCAATTTATAGGAGGAATATTCTAAGGATTGGAGATGGCCAGATATTGTTGCAATAGAAACAGCAGAAAGACTTTATTTAGAACTTTTCCTGACAGTTTTATCATAGAAAATATGTCTCTAGATATGTGTCCTGAATAATTCTAGAAACAACATTTATACAAACATCCCTTATCAAATCTCATGTGTTCCCATTATACAAGAAACAATGTTCTTTACAGCCGTGTTATATACATACAATAGCAATTTATATTCCTCTCTCATCTGACAGAATTTCTGTGTGCTTCCCAACCACATGTATAAATCATCAAGGAAATGCTGAGTCCTCTGAGGTAGAAACATCAGGGATTTGGTGCATAACTGAAGATTTAACTACCCTTGTGAAGTTTCCTGGATATGAATCTATATTCTATGCTCCAGCAATTCATGTTTCTTTCACTTTGCCAAATAAATGATTTCAGAATTTTGGCCAGCATCTGGTGCAATTTGGATGCTGAACATTAATCTAAAATTGCTGATCTTTCTAAATATTCTTTATTTTCTCCTGCAGTTGTGTGGTTCTGCTATTTTGGGAGTCTCTGTATGGATACGTGTTAGCAAAGAAGCTCAGCAGGTAAATACATGCAGTCATACCAGAACCATGTAAAATGTGGAAGCTACCGCATACACATTCATTTCCCATCTTCATTTCCACAAATGAGTTATATTTTTGCTGAGTTGGTTTGTGTGGGCAAAGATTGAAGCATTTTGTGATGTTTAAGATTAAACAAGATGATGCAGGCAGTCAACTAAAGTGATTGACGTAAGCACTGACTTGTGACTAGAAGAAGTGTCTTCTAGTGTTATTAATGTAGGTTCTTGCAGACGCACACTGATTTCTGTTGGACAACATGTGTCTCTCTCCTCTAATAAAAACTAATGAAGGTTTTGTCACTGATTTCAGTGTTAGACAGGACAATGAGGAGCCATGCAGTTCCTAAACTTTTCAATGTCTTTCCCTTTTAGAACAGTATAGTCATATATACTCCTTGGGTTACTTCCATATGTTTGTAGGCAATACTTTTACCTTTCTCACTATCTTCAATAACACAATTCTTATTTCCCCAGTAACTGCAACTTTGAAAGGGAGCAAGGATTTTTCCCTTCTATTTTCAGTGGCTCCTTAAAAACACCTTCTCTTTTTTCCCCTCATATTTATATAGAAAGAGTTTGAGAGACCCAAAAATCTTTACTTAGGATTAAAATGTCCTAACAGCCCTCCTGGAGGGGAAAAGAAAGTCCCTGATTTCCCCTCCTGGATTTTATCTGGGTTATAAAATTACTTCAGGCTTTATGACTTTCCTTTTCTGCAAAGCTAGGGAAAATACAGTTTTGAGGAGCCCTTGATCTTGCAGACATGCAACAGAGGCTGGTCCTGTTGGTGCAAAGGCCCTTTGGCCCTTTGGGCCCTGCCAACCTTTTGCCAAGTGTACTCCCAGTGGCCCTGGCCTCTGACTCACAGCACGCTTGCCACCACCTTTGAGTGAAGCTGATTTCACAGCTCGTAGATGCTTCTCTGAAAGGCACCGTGCAATCTTTGTATGTTGGTGCTTTGTTATACTAACAGGAAGAACAATCTGACTCTAAGGTTTAAGACGTATATTTCTTCTTGTGAATTTGGGCCATAGAAATGTAAATGTATTTGAAAATTTAATTTGCATACTTCTATTTCCAAAAAGGCTTTGTGGCCATAGAAGTGAAAAAATGGCCAGGTGTGACATGGAAGCATTTTTTTTCAGCTTTCAGATTGAGCCTTTAGTAAAGATTAAGTTGCAAATCTTCAGATCACTCCTCTGCTGCTCTACCGCAGTCCGTCAGTGAAGAACAATAATTTTTAAGGCAGTATTTTCCCATCTGGAAATAAAAAGATGGTGGAGATAAGAAGATAGATTTATATATTTCCTGCCATTTGGCTGATGACACTGTTACCCTTAGCCAGTCCCAGATGTCTCGTGTCTGGCAGAGGATGGATGCAACAGAACTCAGTCCATAATGATGCTGTACCATGCAGTAAATTAAGTCATGGTGGAGAGCTCTGCCATTCTCTGCTGTGGAAGAGGAAGAATGACAACTTTCACTCCTCACTCAACATTTTACAAGATGCTAAAATTGCCATATATGCTAGCTGACCATCTCTAGTATGATGTCTCAGATGGTACAATGGAGCTTGGAAAACCATAATCACTATTATCCTTTCTTATTTTTTGAGAGATTTCCTATTCAGAAAAGCATGCTTAAGTGTCTCCCAAACTGGTTTCCTGAAGTACTCCCCAAAAACTGTGAAGTAAGAGTAGGGACCAAAATTGAAAGCATTTTCTCACATTTTTGCCTCTAGGCAGGCAGAATTCCCATTCAAAACCAATGTATGTTTTGCCTGAGTAATAATTGAACAGACCATAAGGATTTGGCTGTAGATGAATAGAGCTTTCTAAGAATAAATAACAGGAAGTTAAGTCCAACTTGGAAGAGGAAAGAACAACACATTCTTCAAATTATACTTGTCTATATACCTTTGCAATTTCCATCAGAAGATAAATGTGACAACTTCCAGACATTTTTGCTAATCTTGGCACCAGCCACACTGGGAGATATTCTTTGAATATTTTTCTCTATTTTGGCCTTTGGCCTTAGTCAGTCCCGTGGGAACTGAATAATTTGATATTTAATAATATTGAGGTATATGAATTGTTTAGCTGAATGTCCCACACATCAAAATACAGTCCTCATCTCTGAGGGTAATATTAGAGATCATGCCTAAACAAAAGAAAAAGAAAGCTGCTTTGGAAATTACATCTAACTATTTCTCTAGTATTTCATTGCTCTGAGAAGTGTTCTCTCAGGAACAGCTACAGAGTATGTTCCTGGCCTTCTAATGACAAACCAAGGTTTTGTTTCTTTAACATTTGGTTAATGTAGGAGATATTTCGAGATAATCAATTTCACTACTTCCAGTAAAAAGCAAAGATTCATCAACTGAAAACTAACTGAAAGCCACTTTAAAGACAAGAGATCTTTATTTACTCTGTAAAGTTGACGTTCATCTTGTGCAGAGACAAAGACTGAAAAGCCAGGGTCTACCAAGCTCCCCAACAAAACGATTAAGAGGGCACTAGAGGTTTGTTTATTTATGGATCAGAATTTCTCTATGGTTGCTAATCAATATATTTATCAGTTATGAAGTAATACTCTTGTTTTGGGGGATACAGATGTATTTAGGAGGATCTTCTTGTAGCTGAAAGATTTTTTCCCCTCTCTTTTCAGGAGCTGGAGATAGACAACAGCCTGTTCGCAGGAGTTGATCTGCTGATAGCCGTGGGCTCCATCATTATGGTCCTTGGGTTTCTGGGGTGCTGTGGTGCCATAAAGGAGAGCCGGTGCATGCTGCTGTTGGTAGGAAAGAAAAACATTTGGCTGCCTTTAACAGGCCACAGCTACATTTGATGGATAAGGTCCTTGCAAGTAGCATCCAATGAGGATGGGGGACTTTTTGTTTAACCAAATACTTGATTATGATCATGTGTTTTCATTGCTTACCTTGTGCTTGAGCCCCTTCTGAATTCTAGTACAGAAAAAATGATGGGTGGTCTCGACAACAAGAAGACAGGCTCCAGCGAGCCGCAAGCATGTCATTAGCTTTTTTTCATCCAACCATCACTGAAGTTCCCTCCACCGGTCCTCCCCCACTACCTATCCCATTTAATTTCATAAATTTCCTTTGCTGGTCCTCCTAGAACATCCTCCCTGTCCTCCTGCCCAACCTCTCTCACCTACACACTGCCCATCATGCCATTACTCTGGCGTGCACCTTGTTTTGATCACCAGCTGAGCACACTCTGTCTCAAGCGCGCCTTTTTCTCATCGCCAAAAAAGGAGTAACTAGAGCAGCTCTGACTGGAACTTCAGTTCATTCTACCTACATGGTTATTCAAGCACATGAAAGCTTAACATTCACTTAGAAGAAATTATATCATCTTGGTCAAAAGTAATATAGTTTTCTCCCCCCTTTTTGTTTTCTTCCTAGTTTTTTATTGGACTGCTTCTCATCCTGATCCTTCAGGTCACAGGAGGTATTTTAGGAGCGGTGTACAGATCTCAGGTACAGTATTATTTTGCATTTTCATTGAAGTCTTCCCAGAGTTTTGTTTCTACCCTGAAAACTAATAAAATATTTGGACTTGCAGATTGAAACATCCCTTAACAAGACTCTCCTGGAGAGTGTGAATAAATTGCAAAGCTCTACAGAAGCATCTAAAGCATTTCAAGAGAAGTTCCAGGAGTTTGAGAGAATGGTAATTAAAATGCAACAAAGGGTGGGGGTTGTTGTTCTCTGTTCCATCTCTAGAATTTGTCTGTGCTTCATTTTATGGCTACTCTGCCATAGATTTGCATTTCACTCCCTGGGGATGAGGAAGGGTCTGATTTAAATGCAAGTTAAAACACTACGCAAGGGGCTTCTGCTCTCTTGATATGACATGGGCTTTCTGTGATGATTTCTTTGTGCAATAGTGTTTATAGGAGCAACAGAGCAAGGACACACAGCACGCAAGTGAGACTGACAGTTAGCTAAGCTCTTTCATGAGAAGGCTGCCTGCTGCTTTGTTACAGCTTTCCTTTCTGAACCGACATTGCTCCTTCACTGTATCCCAGCTAAGGACTATCCAGTACTCTTAAGGCAAGATTACCCCAGGGATAAGGAAAACTTCAGGAGTGTATTTCATTTGGAATATCCTATTGTTCTGAAGTCATTAAATGCCATAATTTACTGTGCAAGAAGGGGAAAGAAAATATGATAAAAGGGAGGTTTGCCTTCACTGTGCTTGTACCTATCCTGGCTTCCCCCACCTGCAGGACCGCAGAAGGTGAACACAGTTTGCTCTTGCGTATTACACAGAGAATACCCTTGAATCTCACTGATATCACTGATGGTGTAGACCCCTGGCCCTCCCACTAATACCTGTGGCTATACATTGACAGAGTGCCTGCTGTTATTTTCTTTATTAGTCCCTAATGGGTGATGACTTTGATGGGTAGACTTAAAGAATTCCTGTATTTTTAAAGGCAGCTGGTGTGAAAGAAAAGGAAGCAAGAAACAATATTTGGGTGGCTTATATTACTTCCACTTCTCCTTCCTCATTCCACCTCCAGCCCTGTTCTCTGCTTCTGAGCCAGCTAATTTCTTCTGATATAATAAGCAGCTCCCTGGAGAGATGATTGAAGGGTGAGCAAAATGAAAAATCCCATAATTACTGTATTAATTTTTAAATAGACCAGGATTGCTTTATTATGTCCCATGGCTTTTGCTTTTATACAAAATTATGTGAACATTTCCAGCTGCTTTTTAAAAGAGGGAGGACCTCAAACCCAAGTCTGCACCCCTGAGCTTTAGTGGCTTGAATAAAGTGGAACATGAAGTGAAAATGCACCTGGTTTAGGTTTCACAAACCCCAAATGGAGCCCTGGCCTCCTCAGTCCATTTCTAATTTAAAGGGCTAAGCATCATTCAAGGTGGTTATTTTTCTAGATTTCAGAGTTTTATGTACCTGAATTTTACATTTTCAGCCTGGCTTTCAAGATGTGAAATGTGGATGTTACTAGAGCTGTTACGTACCTTCTGCAAGTATAACCTGCAGAAAGAAGACTTGATTCTCAAAAAATACTATACCCAGCATTGTTCCATGTTCCAGTTCCATTCTGGAACTGACAATTACTAGCTTTATAGTACGTTAATGTTTTTTGAGCACTGTATACTGAAAATGTGCACTTTTTTCCTTTTTTTTTTTCTTTTTTTAACCTCGTGCACTTACATTCTTATAACTGGTATGAAAATGCAAAGGGTGTTTGAGGCATACCTATTGGGAACAAATTCCACGTGGGAAAAGATGAAAGGAAATTTCTCCTTCGTTGTTCCTCTCAGCTCCCTCGCCTACTCTCCTTGAACTGCAAATCACCACTTTTTTCCTCATCTCTCCATTTCCTCCTTTCTTGCAGAATGAGTGCTGTGGTTTGCTGAAAGGACCTGCAGACTGGGGAAAAAATTTTAATACTCCTTTTGGTAACAGTAAAATCTGTCAGTGTGGTATAACGGATGCACCAAAAGGCCTCTGCACCTTGTTTGAAGGCAGATACGTTTATAAACAGGTAAGAAAAATATAATGTTCCACTCTTCTTTCCAAAAAGATGTTTTAACCCAAGGTTGTCTTTGGTGACTGGCATAATCAGAAGTTCTGTATCTTTCCAAAAAGGCAAAGTTTTACCTTGTCTTTATTAGCCAGAATTGCCCCTGTGATGTCTGTTATGAAATTACTGTGTATACATGAAATACACTGCTGCTTCCTCTTCCTGGGATGCCTCTATTTTAGCTGTGCAGTGCAGTACCCTTAGGACCTCAGCAGCCTGCATGGTTGCTATGGGTGAAAATTATCATACCTTTGGGGTCAGGCTATGCCTCTGGGTCAGAGCAGCACATCAGCTACCCTTTGGCTCTGTTATGAGGTTATATGTTCCCACCCAGGCTCATTCTGGTGGTAGACATGTTGACTCAGAGGTTTTCAAAGATCTAAGGCATATTGAAAAACAAACACATTAAATGCAAGACCTTTGGGGTTTTATAGTCCTTTAATAAAAAACCCCACATTCATTTTGCAGGATCTGCTGGGAAGAAACCTTACATATTGTAGGCTACATGGAAGCATACTCAAAGTGTAATTTCCTATAACTACAGCCTTTTGAAAAGCTTGTGGCAGTTATAATAAAAAGGCAAAAATGTTTGGTGACAGGCAACAAGAAAGCATACCTAAAAATTTATAGGTGGGCAGCAGAGATCTCAATTAATTGATTTCAAGATTTATCTGTCTCCTTATATGGAAATTTGGACTCCATGTAATACAAGGAAAAATATGAAAAAAAAGTGGAAAACGAGTACAAAATAGCTGCATTTTTAGAATGCTGGTCATACGAAGTTTGCCAATCTGTACCTAGCACAAAGCAGATTTTAGCAAATGTCCAAATCTGGTTGTATACTTTTCTAAATAGCTCCTTAGCCAGGTCTTGCCTGAACACTAATTTCTTCCCTGTGTAGTCCCACAGAAGCAAATACTGTTTTAAAGCAAGGGAACAGTCTGGTTAAGCAGAGGATGCCAGAACCCAATCTGGAAATAAGATGTATACAAAGAGGCTGTTCTGGCCACATTTTAACATCTTTTTGGCCTCAGGCAAACCCTCAAAGGACACATGAGAAGCCATCAGTGAAATTACTGCAGGTGCAAGATATCACTCACATGAACACACAGATTTCATGGTGGTGTTAGATGCTAGTAAAGACATTCAAGTCTTGTGATCCAGGAAAAAAGATTTGAAATTCAGTGCAGTTCTGAGTCAGCTTAAATGAGAGGGTTTGTAGAAGGACTAGAAGGAGAAGATCCATGTGTTTACTGCGAGGGAGGAAATATGGTGAAAGAATATAACAATATCTGGGGGGAAGGCAGTTGTAGCAGTTGGAACAGTAACATAGTTTTGATGGATTTAAGCCATACTTGGCTTTCCCTCCAGTTTGCAAAAGGAGTACTGTCAATGCCTGGAGAAGATGTAGTCATTATAAGAACAGATGTATGCATTTATTAAAAAGGAGAGTAGCTCTGCATAGAACTTCAGATATGATCACTCTCTTCCTCCCAGCCCCAGCCCAAGACCTCCAAACATTTGTCAAAATTAATGTTTAAGCTAGGTTTTATATCCAAATATTGATAATTGAGCCCAGTTCTAATAATAGGCTTTGAAGTTTCAAATCCAAAGATCAGTTTAGTTGGAAACTGAAGTTCTCTTTCAGATCTGGTCGTTGCTTCATTGGCTCTTTCCTAGCAGCAAATTATTAACAAGTGAAAGTTAGAATAAACGCTTCTTTCCTTGTCAACCTGAAATCATGCAAACATCAGGCATTACAGCTGCATGCCTTCATTTGAAATTGTACCATTTTATGGTCAGCTACTAAGTTCATCTTCATATTTGGGAAGGCAAAGACTAGATATCTTTCTCAGAGCACAAGGTACATACGGCTATGTTCTTTGTTAGCAACAAGCCAGAGTAAATTCAAATAGCCTTTCTTTAACACAGAAAGAGAGAAAGAGAGAGAATGTGAGAGGAGTTATTTTAGAGGATGCATTCCTGATAACCTTAGGATAATATTGCTTACCTATAATTAATCATTTTGTCTTATTTTTCAGCCTTGTGGAAAAGTGGTTATGGAATACCTTAAAGACCATCTGCTCATAATTATGGGGATGGCCTTTGGACTGGCTGTTGTTGAGGTACCAGTATACACCATTAAAATATTTAGTAGCTGACAAGCAATATGTTCTACTTAGAAATACACTGGGAATCAGATTAAAACACCTGGCTTGCTCAATTAATAGACAAGGGAAAACCACCTCTCACCTTAGCTATAATCTTACTGTTATTTCATATAAACAGTGTATGGCTGTCGAGCTGAGAACTTCAGGTGGGATCAGACCACCCTGCTGCCTGTATAAGTGTATCACATGTCACGTTTTCTGCAAAGATTTGACAGCCCTGGAGCCAGGCTGTGCCTTGACAGCAAGCCCTGTGGACAGAGGGGTGTGTGGATACCCAGCCCCAGGAAGACATGAAGCAGAGTAGCTGGTCTTTTCCTCCTCTTTCTCTCCTTTGCTTGAGGAAAAAGTCATCTCATAAGAAAGCTTAGCCCCTAAACTGCATATTCTTATCATGGAGGAATTATGATGCAAAATTATTAGTCTGAGGGCATAATTTAACCATCAAGATGACGTGTGAATGCGCCTGAGTGCACACCTGTGCTGCTCCATATATCTCTGTGTGTAAAAAAAGCAGAGTGTGTGAGCTCTTTATTTTAATTGCTTCATTGTACACTGAAGAGTAACATGCAAAATTTTCTCTGAAGTGAGGAGGAAAAACAGTGAGGTTATCCAGTCAGCTACTTGATGAATGATAGGCTTTGATTAGGAGAAAATGTCAAAGAAACAGGAGATTTCATCATGTTGCTTTCTTCGGTCATTTTCTTTCTTTTCACTATTCCTCTGTGGTTTCCCTCCTCCCCCACCCCCTGCCGATGAATGTTTGAGGGAAAAGCAGAAATGACAAAGGTTGCTGTGCAGAGTTCAGTCTGTTATTCCAAGTGAAAACTTCTTAACATCATTGGCAGAGGATTGCTCCTCGTGGTAGAAGAGTGGGCAAGAACCCCAACTCAAAAATACATTTCCAGGAAAATAATAGCAAGCAGGGAAGAGTTACGCAGCTGCAGCACTTGGAGACGACAGGCCACTAACTTCTTACCCGGCACAGGCTTCATGTTATTTAAGGTGCTGTATGTGGGGGGTCAGGTCTCTCACCTATCTGTAGACTTTTGGGGGAAAATAGGTGAAATACACCAATATTAAAAGGCCTTTAAAAATATAATAGAAGTGTAAAATTGCATCTGTATCCCGAAGGTAAGTTATAAGTCACTTTGCTCGCACTACTGCAGTTACATGTGTTGTAGCCTTTAGTTCATTGGCCATCATTCTTTCCTGTTCTCCAGTTGGCATTTTCTGTGGTGGCTGCCTCTCCCAATCATAAAAGGATTAGAAAACAACATGAATAAACAATATGAGCCTCAGCTGGTACAAATTGTCAGCTGGCATTTTACACTTGATAAACATTTAACCTTACCAAAGATATTAACATATTATGACTTCTCAAGCGATTGCAAATCGCAGGCCACATGCTTAGCCATCCCTCTGCTCTGGAAAAACCCAGATAAAAAGAAGTGGACAAGGCAAAATGCTCTTCTCTAACGTTCCCCGCTCTGCCTGCTCCATTATGCCACTTGTGGGCTGTTAATGGTTTCAAGTCACCCTATTAGTGGAAACGATACTGAGAAGAAGGGCCCAGTTTCACTTGGGTGCAAGTGAAAATGTGGGCATGGTATGTAAGGGAAGCCTTGTCAGCTTATTCCAGCTGTGAGTTCATCCCCTCATCTTTAGCCATACCCCTGTGTTCTGTACACTCTCCACTGTCTCTTCCTTAAATAAATGAAGCATCCTGATGTTCACAGCTTCATAAATGTCATATGGATACTTTCTGCTTTTGTGAAACACCTTCACAGACTGGTTAATTTTAAATCCAGAAGGAGGCTTTCTGAACTTCTGGTCTCTCCAGCTGTCTGTCACAGGCTGTGGAATTTCACCCAGTAATTCCCACTACAGAAGGTGACCCTACTGAATTTTATATTTCAAGCAACAGCTGCTTTAGTGGACTCAATGTTTCTATCCCAAATCTATTACTGATGAATATAAGGATCTGTTGTACGATCATTTGCCACTCAAAACAGTGGGGTATGTGTATAGATACATATATACATGTATGCCTTTACACATATATTTACATAAAAGGGAGTGGTGACAGTGGAAAAGAAGAGCAATTTTAAAGGGAAACAACCCTTGGAATACGCAATGGAATCAGAAAGTTCCTCCAAATTTCTTAGAAAATAAAAGATTAAATTTTTGTCCAAATTTCTTGAACTTCTCAGTATTTGCTGCTCCATTGCAGCTAACAACTGCATTTTAAACCCCCAGAATTACAGGGTTCCCCATCCACAGAGACAATCCATCTTTTAAACAAATTAAAGTTTTCCATCATGTCTGCAGTCTTACCTGTGGTACATACTGATTTCATTAAAAAGGCTATATTCTAGAGTCATGTTCTTTAAGAATTACATTGGAAAAGATCTTCTGCATAGCAGATTTAGCCTGAATGTAAATCCAAGACATTTGCAAACAAAATGTTCCCACTGTGTATCAGTTGTATCCTGGGATTTCCAGGACTGCCAAGTAATACCAGAAATGTCTTTGTTTTCCAGATTATCGGTTTGGGGTTTTCTATGGGCCTCTACTGCCAGATCCAGAGAAAATGAAACTGTGGAAGTGTCAGAACGATGTCACCAGCCAAATCAAAACCTTTGTAGATAGAGGGATATTTGGCTTGGCACATTCAGATAAATATATGCATGTCCCATGCAGCTGTTCTGATGAAAACGGCAGCCCTTGTGCACATGGATGCTTCACAATTTGCAAAATTACCTCCTTCATAAGATTTAATGATGTGAATGTGAATTTTTATTTGCAATAAATGTCTTTGTTTCTGTTTCTGAAGAGTTTATGTTGTCTGAAGATCACATTTAAGTCATGTTGAGATTCCGAGTTCACCATGCAGTGTGTCCACATGAGTGTTACACCACCCATAGCAGAGTCACCGTAAACAGCTGCAAATGATCTTGCGGTGGCTGACTGGGAGTCACATGTCCCCAGACAGCTTTGCTTGTGGGGCAGGGTGTTTTCATTACGAGTGTCGCAGGTCAGTTTGACACTCGATATGGTGCATATGGTGAGGGTTTTGTTACTTGTGAGAAGCACAGGGACTAACTCTCATCCAAATAGGAAAGCTGCATTTCCCTTCAGGGTCATTTAAATCAATATCCTGGCAGCTGAGATGATCACTCTCAGGACCAAATGATGCTTAGATTGCATACAGGAGTTGGATTTAGTGGCACGTGTTTTGCAAATATGCATCAAGGGTGAAATCCAAGCCCATGTGGAGGCAAGACGTACACAAAAGTCATGTGGGTGAGACTTCACCCAGAGCGGCTAAGACCAGCACTGGGCTCCCAGGCAGTGGGTGGACAACAGAATTCACAGCTGGTAATGCAGAAGCAGCAATATAAAACGTACCTGCTTTTGGATTGACCAGTGCTTGTGAGTACTGGAGTGCTGAGGCACTGACAGCCTGCCCATGGCCCAGGACCCCATGTCAGCCCCATGGGGCTGTCAGCCCCTGCCCCAGCGATGATGCAGCAGAGCCGGTCTCCGGCTGCCCACAGCCCTGCCCTGCTTGGCCATGGGGTCCCACCAAGCTGGACCCACCCATGGGCCTCAGCACATCCCCATCCCCAAGGAGGTGTCCGATGCCCAGGGCTGGGGCAGCCCCAAGGCCCCCCTGGCTGCCCGGCTCCTGGCTGGGGTGGTGGGATGGACCCCGGCTGCCAGGCTCTGCCCTGCCACCTCAGGGCAGCTGGCTTGGTCCTGGCCCCCAGAGAGCTGCTGGCGCAGGTGGCTCCCTGACAGAAAGTAAATGGCATCAGGGAGCATAGTTTTTCAAGGTATGAAGATATCTAACAATGCCCATAGGGATCTGCTGAGGTTTTCCACACCAAGCTGATGGCCTCACTGCTGTACGTTTGGGGCTAGCTGTTTTCACCAGTCCCGCTGGGCTCCCATCTTCGTCTTTGGGAGCAACTTTAAACACCTTCAGACAGTTGCTCTTAAGAGAAAACCATGTACCATGCTCTTCTACTTTAAGACCCCTCAGGTGCCCATGACTGTCTCAAAGCACACCCAGACTGCTCCCATCTTGACAGAGCCACGCAACTGTTGCTTATAAATACATGAAAAGCTTTCCTTGAGCAGAGATCTTTCACCATGCCTTATACTGACAGGATTGGTTTCAGGTAAAATTCAGCTGCAGCAACCATTTTCTTTTAAAACACATCCAGAGGAAAAGTTTTTGTCCTGTCCCCCACCCTTTCCCTAGCACTCGGACCATTAGGCCAAGCAGTGAGAGCTGCTTTCAGAAATTCATGTGTCTCCCAGGAAAGTCATCTAGCTATCAGACAGTTCTGGCACTTGCCCTTCCCTCTGCTGAAAAGAATTCATACTTTGTTGGACTAGAGAAAAAGCATGACACCATGACCCAGCCATACTCACTGGAAGGAGAAACGCTGGCTTCTGCTTCCTCCTCCTCCCCAGACTGTTTTTTCCTGTGCATATCTTACCCGTGATTTGAAATCCTGGGAGCTGTGCCTGAATCACCCGGACCATGGGACGGCAGCTGGACTCTTGGATTATCACTACAGAAAAAATCAGGAGTAGAAGGGCAAAACACAGGGAGAATTGCATCTTCCTCTTCCTTCTACTCCTTCCCATGAGAAGGAATGTTCTCCTCTTTGAATAAAGGACCAGAAGGTCTCCCATAGAGAGGGGACTCAGAGCTGTGGATGCCTAATGGATGGACATGAAGGTGAAATTACAGCTCACCCTTGCTACCAGAAGTAGTTAGCTTCAGGCAGCTGTAAACTTGAGTATTACTGCTAGCGATTTGTGATGAACATCGACGCAAGGTTGGCACAATCCAACCCTGTATCTACTCTGGGGGAGACATGTATAAAAGCAAGGTGTTCATACATGTGAGTTTTGGTTGTCTACAGCCTGATATGCTTCTTTTGGCTGGGATAGAGTTAATTTTCTTCATGGTAGCTAGTATGGGGCTATGTGTTGGATTTGTGCTGGAAACATTGTTGATAACACAGGGATGCTTTAGTTACTGCTGAGCAGTGCTTACACAGAGTCAAGGCCTTTTCTGCCTCTCACACCACCCCACCAGCGAGTAGGCTGGGGGTGCACAAGAAGTTGGGAGGGGACACAGCTGGGATAGCTGACCCCAACTGACCAAAGGGATTTTCCATACCATATGACATCATACTCAGCAATAAAACTAGGGGCAGTTTGGTGGCGGGGGCTGCTGCTTGGGGACTGGCTGGGCATCAGTTGTTTTCTGGTGAGCAGTTGTTTTCATTTACATCACTTGTTTTCCTTGTGTTTCATTTCTCTCTTTTTGTTATTTCCCTTTTCATTACAAATTATTATTTTCATTATTATTTTATTTTATTTTATTTCAATTATTAAACTGTTTTTATCTCAACCCGTGAGTTTACCCTCCCGATTCTCTCCCCCCATCCCACTGGGGGGAGTGAGCGAGCAGCTGTGTGGTGCTTAGTTGTCGGCTGGGGCTAAACCATGACAGTCCTTTTTTGGCACCCAACATGGGGCTCGAAGGGTTCAAAATAATGACAGTTTTGATTGCAATGTGCTAGATGGAATTTATAGCTGTTATTGCTGTTTGGCTATTAATGGACAGGCTTCTGTGCTTGCCATGGGTCTTGCTTGCCTCACTGTATATTAGAGTCAAGTGCTCATTAGTGGCTGGGTTTTTGTTTTGCTGCTTGCTGTACCTCTGTACTGCTTCTTATCTTACTCTGCTGTGCTTGGGAACATTCTGATAACAGCAATGGCCATGTGCCTGGGCTGGCAGATGGCCAGGGCATCGCTGCTCTTTCTGTGCTGCTGCACTGCACAGGTTGGAGCTCCACTGTGAACTTGAGTCAAAGGGACTGTGACCTGTGGATGAGTCCACGTGGGAGCAGGACACCCTGAAGTGTCTGTTGCCATGAGTAAGTCCACACCAGAGCAGGTACATCTCGAAACATCTGTGGCCTTGGTTATGTCTGTGCCGCAGCAGGTGTACCTCTGAAGGGACTGTGGCCCTTCCTACAGTCGTGGTAGCATATAATCATAGTATTTCAATGTTTTGGATACAGCCCTCAAAATATCCTCCTTTTGCATCAACATAACGATGTATCATACAGCAGACTTTTTGGTTAAAACTGTGGTGCCATTAAAATCAACAGCAAAATGTTGTTTTCAGTGACGAACTTTGACACAAGAGTTTCATCTGGAGCAAGGTGAATAGTTCCCCTATTTATTTAGGCTGTTTGTCTTTATTTCCTAATGCTTTAAGGAATAAAACTGAAGTCCTATGATTAGATGCTACCATGACTGTTTAAATGGGATTGAATCAATTAAGTCATTCGGAATATTACCAATTTGCTGCTGAAGTGTTTTTGCCTCTAAAACATGCCCATTGCCTCTGATGTTGCAAAACTTATTTAGCTGGAATGTTCTGTAGTCTCCTGATGTTTTCTCCTCCATTTCTCAATGGAAACAGCAAAATACCAAGCATAAAACAAAGAGAAATCTGTCCAGATGGGATTCATCTGGCCATATGCAGAACTCTACAGAGTAGAAATTAATCTCATAGAATCATAAAATCACAGAATGATTTGGGTTGAAAGGGACGTTTAAAGATCATCTAGTCCAACCCCCCTGCCATATCTGAGCTACCTGTTTGGACTCCCCTTATAATCAATGAAGAGAAATAAGCATATCTAGGATTTGAGCCATCTCATTCTAAAATAGATGTCCAAAGAGGTTAGATGAGTCATTTGCATTGCAGATAGGTGAAGTCAGAGTGAATGAATCCCACCTGGCAATACTGAACTTCTTAAAATCAATAGAAGCAGTGGCCAGTCAGGAAAAAGCATCAGTATAATATTCCACGGGGGTGCATTGATTATTCATTGATCATTCATTGATCCATTGACCTTCTTGCTCAGTCATAATCCAGCCTGCTGGGAAATGAGCCCTGCTTATTCTCTGGGCTTGTAGGATGAGATTCATCTGCTGTGCAGGAATGTCTCTCTCAGAGCTGCAGTGCTGTAACAGAGATCCCAGCACCACTCCTTCATGAAGTCCTCCTGGTATTCTTATCAGAGAATATTTTGACTTAGCAATTTACTCAAAGTAACAATGGGACATTTTTCTGAGCCCATATCCACTTTTTAATCACGATGTCTGAAATCGCTGAAATGGAATTTGACAATAAATCCTTGATAGAACAATAAAACCATAAGAGTTTTCTTTTGTGGGGTGTTGGGGAAGATTGTTTTTGTTTTTTCACAACAATCTCATCCAAGGTTATGTTCCTCTCAGTGTTACCCAATAAAATGAAGCATACAGAGGAAAGACACATGGACAAGACCTTAATGCTTTGGAACAGCAAAGGGAGAAAAAAACGTATAACTGTAATCTTAAATAGTATAAGAAAAGAGTGGTAGAAAGAAAGACAATGCATCCCTGCCTTTGCTAGGGGAGCTGAATGCCAACTTCAAACCTAGTCTATTTAACACAAACTAGTGATTTATCATGTCAAAGCCAAACAACTATTTAATGGCAAGAGATAAGA